CAATAATAATATCTACACCATCAATTAAAAATGAAACGAAAATTAGGTAAAAATATCATTGCATTTGATATTCTAATTGACTGAAAATAAAAAAAATAATTTGCTGAAAATGAATCCGATATCACTAATTGACTGAAAATATAAAAGGATAACTAATTGAGTAATATTCTACCATTATATATTTTAACCCAAATAACCCGTCCCGATTAATTGAAGGTGTTAGCTCTAGACGAAGATGAACAAGATTGCGTTGTCACTACCAATGTCGTCTACAAAGAGGTTTCAATAATGTGTAAATATAATCGGGGATATTAAGTTTTTTTTTTAAATGAAAAAATTGTTATATATCTTGACAAAAAAATATATCTTCCATACAAATGAATAAGGATACCAATTCATTTCTATAACTGAGTTGTTAGAGAACGAACACATTTGCCTAATTTATGAAAATACTAAATAATGATAAATAAAATCTTCAAAGTTATAGCACCGTATGTATACATCTAGATATTAGCTATTAATTTGAGCAATTATTTACACAAATTCAAACAATAATAACATCAAAATATATAAACGATACAAATCATATCTTTAATTGCACTGTATAATATTGGATGTTCTAATTTAAATAATTATATATCGATTCATATATTCTTACTATATTACAATAAATTCATTCCGTGCGATAGTGCAAATACTAGTTTTTCTTAAAAAAGAAATTACTTGGCACGTTGAGGGAAGAATTTGAGGAAAAATTATTATAGGTGTAGCAATGAATCCAATGATCCCAAAAATTATGGCTTAAAATACGACGAGACGCGGAAAAGCAAATTAGTTTCAAAAATTGAAGATTAAAATAGATTGAAGTGATTAAACCAAAACATTCCGAGTTGGAAGAGAGGTAAAACAAGTAACGAACAGAATCTGTGAATGATTCCGTGGCTCGCCCTCTTCCAACCCTACCAAAGCCTCTGAAAACTGCTTATCAAAGCTGTTCGTGCTCCAAACAGGTGCCTGATTCTTGAGTATTTGTGTTGGTAATGTAATGTAATGTAATGTTCAGCCATCTACTCTTCTTTTCATCTGCATTGAATTGATTGCTCGCTCCTTTTCATTTCTAAATCCCCAAGGGTTTCTGGCGATTTTTTCGGTGTTTTCAAATTCTTGAATCTTTGGGGACTTCTCGAGGAAGTGAAGGCATTGGAGCAGGGTGTACTCATAAGAGGCTTCCGATTTTGAGTGATTTTTGGTTATGCATGAATTGGGTTGTGGGAAAGATTTTATCTTTGATGTGAGTTTTATCAAAATTTTGTATTTCTTTGAGATTGAAGACGACTAGTGTTATTATTTTGTTGGCTTGAACGACAATTTTGTTCTGTTTCTAGTTGCCCCTTATACTATTGTTCTAGAGGTGGCATTGTTTCATTGTTTACATCTGAATTCACATTGTACAATTGCTGTGGGTCTATTAAAATTTGAGGTCTTTGATTGGTGCTCCTTTGGTAAGACTACAATTTTCTTGAATGAAATTTTGAGAGAGAGAGCTAGAATTAACTTTTTGGTTAGATTCTATTGTGAATATGTCGGGTGGATCACCAACTGTTGGAGGTGGGTACATGAGGCAGAGGTACAGTCAAGGGTATTTTTCAAGTGGTGATGACCTTGAGGATGATGCCTGTTCTAGAATATTTATGGAATCACCTTCATTCCCAACTACACGAACATGGGTTGAGATTGTAGAAAATTTTCTTTGGATTAGTTCAGCACTTTTTATCATCTACTATGGCGATCGGCACTACAATTTCATTTACATACTTTGGCATGATAATCGCATAAGGAGGTATGTCCTTGAGTTGTCCTTGCTTCAATTATTTTTTATGTTTAAGTATTTGTTTCTTATATTCTATTATTGGTAGGTTTTTATTAATGATTTTTTGTTGTTGTTTTATTATATTATGGGAGGAATAATAGTCTAACTGTTTCGTGTCCAAAAATTGCTATCTGTATTTGTTTTAATGTAATTGTATTAATGGAATGGTACACTTGATTATGCATTAGACCCGAAGTTCATTAGTATATCTATATGTCTTATCCAGATAAGAGAGGACTCAGCTAAAAATCTTATATAGTACCCCCTAAATTACATCTCCAGTTCTCCTCATAATAACCATGTCAAACAATGTTCTTGGTGCTTAGATTTAGCTATAGGAGATTAGATTATCTATCTAGTTTTTGTTATCACGTCAACTTCTAGGACCATATTTGATACTGTTTTAGTTTATAGTTCTTTGTATTTTGATGTATATGTAATGTCCTAGTAGTAATTGTAATTATATTGGATTCATTTCAAGAAATTTATAAGATGTGGTGATTACTAGAGTTTTTATTTAACCGGAAGCTTGTTAAGAAGAATTGCACCTTGACAACAAGCAGAGTAACTCAAGATCTAATTTACCAAGAGTAGAACTGAGAAACCTCTCATGAATCTAATTTACCAAGAGTAGAACTGAGAAACCTCTCATGAATCTAATTTACCAAGAGTAGTAGAAGTGGGTAATCTCTCATGAACCATGATAACCCAACCGTCACCATTGGTGGGCGAGTCGTTATGCTGTGCAACCGTGTGCACCATGCATGGTGCACACGGTTGCAAAAACGAAGTCGTTTTGACTAAAAATGCGCATCTCACTTTAAAAAAAAAAATCAGTTTCGATCCCTGTCAACAGCATTATGTTGTTCATTCATTCTGGATATTTAGTTCATTCATTCTGGATATTTAGACGGAAATCAAAACTGATTTTTTTTTTTTCATTTATGTTGGATATTTGGTTCATTCATTGATTTTTAGTTCATTTATTCTGGATATTTAGTTCATGCATTCTGGATATTTAGTTCATTCATTCTGGATATATAGTTCAAATTATGCACAATATAATGTTGTTGCCGGGAATCGAAACTAAATTTTGTTTTTTTTTAAGTGGGATGCGCATTTTTAGTCAAAACGACGTCGTTTTTGCATCTGCATGGTGCACACGGATGCACAACATAATTTGCCTTGGTGGGCCTAATAGATTATTATGACAAATGACAATATTAATAACATTAAATCCCAGTATTTCCCATTCTTAATATTCCATTAGATCCATCAACAGAGAAGAGAGGACACACCAGAATTCAAATAGAAGCACAAAATGCAAGGAAAAGTTTAGAAAACCTTCTTCTTTTGTTGTTGTTGTTGTTGTTGTTCAGGCAAAGGAGGATCAGGAAACTCCAACTAAAGGGTCCCTATAGTAGAAGTCTATCTGAAACCCCAACTGGCTTATTATGTGTCATGTTTAATTATTTTTGAAGTTTACTTGTATACCTTGAATTGCCTTATTTCAATTTCTTTGGATTGTTGTTGCAAGTTTGCTGCAATACATGAAAATGGGTTGACAGCATTAAATTAAAATGCTCATTTTGACAGAGGAGGTAACCCTCACCTCAACCAAATAGGTTTATATTGCATTTCTAAAATCTTAACCAAACATAGATTGAGCACCTTTTCCGGAATGTACTTAAGGGAATGTTTCTACTAGAAATCTAATAACCAAAGTTAATGTGACATCCCCTGAACCAAAAGACAAATTGCCCTCTGTTATGTGGCTGTTCTTTTCTCATGAAGCAAGGACTTAGCTCATGCTCTGTATTGATGTTTATAGGCTATGTTCATAACTTACATTTTGTGTTCTCTATATATCTATGGCTTTTGATTTGAAATAATGGTTTCTTGCCAGATAGAGAGCTCATATACAAACCTAAAATTACTTTCTTCTATAATTGCATCTGCAAATCAAACAATTTATGGCTTACAACTTGACTGAAATGGACATTGGATATTGAGTTGGTGCTGTCAGTACCTATCATCACATAACAGATATCTCCTAGTGTCAGTAGGCAACAATCTTGAGAAAAGCCCAAATTGTTTAGTACTAATTTGAAGAGATATATAGGTGGAAGACACTAAAAGAAAAGGTGAACTGAATTTTTTAAGATTGAAAATTTTTATGCATTTAACAGAGCCAACATCACTAATATCTCAAATTTGGTTAGTGTTTCATGAGATAGATGCTGTTTCTTTATAGATCCCTGGTTGTTAAAGGAAATACAATGGAGTAGATTTCTAAAACTTGTTTTGAACTGTCAATTTTCTAATATGTTTCTCACTATCATAAAATGGTACTCTTATCAAATTTGATTGTTTCTTTACATGGATTAAGGAATATTTTATATGTTGCTTCAGTTAACAGCCTTAAATCTACATGTGCAGAATACCATTGTATGTGGGAATGTTTGCTGTCGGCTTGAATAGTCTCTTTTTCTTGTATACTGGTACATTAGCCTGGGGAATCAGAAAATCCAGTGAGAACTGGGAAATTTCAAGTGCAGCTGCTTTGCCATTTGTAACTGTTAATGGACTCGTATCATTCTGCTTGTAAGAGGAATTGTGGTCGTTTCTGAAACAATTTCTTGTATCTTTGAGGCCAATCTTGCTTAAATTGAAAAAAATTATTATGCAGGTTCGTGTACGCATTGTGGCCTATTTGGAGTTTCTTGACTCTCCCTCTCGTGGTATGCCCTATGTTTTGATGCTTTGAAACTTGTATCATTTTGTTTACATGAATATGAATGGTTTAAAGGGCTGTTATAATTACTTTTTCATTTTCGTTTGTTCCCTGTCATAATAAAAGATTACTATGTGTAGAACTAACAGCTCAATAGCTTTTTGCATGAAATTCTGTGATCAAGCAGCTTTCTTTTGATGTTCAGTCAGAATAATTGATGAAAAATAAGATACATAACTTGAATAAATGTGTCTATTGTATGGCCTCTTTTGAATTATCTGTTAATATGAATTAAAATTGAAAATTGTTACATATGCTTCCATTTTTTGCAGTTCACTCTGTTTATGGCTTGCATGGTTATATTTCCATATTTGGTCCTTGGGACATTTAAGCCTCAAGCAGACATGCTTCGTACAGATTAGACGTTATTGGACTCGTTAGGACAGTATATCCCCAAGCTGACTTAGTTGGATGGTGTGTGCAATTATATGGACGGTTATCTCCAGTTCTTGTGAGGTTGAAGCCTTCTTTTGAGATTGTTGCCGAAAAGGAGACTCGTTCCAGCACAGATGCAATGTATCATAGGAGTTTGCTCCATTTACCTAATTTATTAATTCTTCCTTCTTCACCTCCCCTCCCCAAAAGAGTAAGTAAATAAGTTGTATTTAAGGCTTTTAGATTTGGCAGTTCTGCTGGAACCTTGTAGTCGACAGAAGAACCTATATGAAATCAAAACACTCGGAAATTTGTCAATGTTTTCACTGGCAGAAAAGAAAAGTAGAAATGGGTAGAAAGAAGGACAGAAGGAAGCAGGTAGCGGGATAAAAACCATGCTTCACATCGTCTTTAATTATTGTAATACTATCAATATGAAAAGTTTCATTATACTTGTTTCTGTCCAATGTCCATAGCTTTTCTTTGTAAAGAGTGGCTATCTTTTTCCCCCATAATCATTGCAGATTGCAGATATCTTAGCCTCCCAAAGTGAATGTGCAAAATGCAGCATTTGGTGACAGTTGTTCACTGATCTGCAACAAACCAATCTTTGGTGTTTGAGTTGCCAGGTGGAGAGATTGTTGGGGGTGGGTGGGGGGGATGGAGGGGAGGTAAGGGAAGTGTCAACCTGATGGCCTAGTGGGAGTTTGACTATTGGAAACTGACTTGCCTATCTTCAACTCTTTGTGTTTGTTGGGTATACACTAAGTGGAAGTAGCTTTCAGATTTTTGTTCTTTTATAGAACTGAGAATCTTTCCCTTTTCACAACTGCATTATTTAGGACTTTATTTTGAATCTTCAAGCATTACCCAATGGCCTTTAACCTACTTTGAGTCATTTTTCTGTTTTTGCTTTTTGTTATCAAAGAACATTTATGTTGTACTGCCTGAACATGCCACACACTGACACAAGTTATGCACATTATAACTTTCTTTTTCTTGCATGAAGGGTGTGGAAATGTGCAATGTTGGTTCTAGTCAATGTATAACATGGTTTAGTTGGAGGAAAAGGACATGAGGGTGGAGAATGGAGTACATACTTGATTGACTTGGAATAATAGTTGAGGACAAGAAGATTAGGCACAAGGAAGCTCACATCTTTAGACTTTATAGAATTCTATATAAATTGGAGAGCACAAATTTTCTATTTCATAAAAGTAATGGAGGTTTTACTGCTCGATCTGATATGTTCATTGAGAAGTTAATGTCTCCTACCAAAGTAGGGCCGTCGGGGTGGGGTTTGCCAAAGCTTGCCATTTAACGGGGTGGGACAGGCTAGTTTGCCATTGTGCAGACTTAAGAAATACTAGAATGCCCTGCCCTTTTCATTATTTAAACATATTAATTTAATAAAATGTTTATTCAAAAAGTTTATTGTTGAACAATAAAACAATTTAAACAAACAATAATACAAAAAAATTGTCTCATGAAAATATAAAAAATAATATCTATGGAATTACTTTGATTGTCATTTAAATTGGCTAGGGATTTAAAGTGTTTGACGAGGTTCTCCCATCTTTGGAGCAGTGCTCGGCTAACGACTTATCGGTCTTCTCTATAACTACACAAATCTTAGTGAACGATAGCTAGTTTGAGCATTTTATTACAATGTCAAAAAAAAAGGTAAAATATTTTTGTTTACATGTTACTTTTTTTTTTTTTTTAATTCTTCTTTTTCAACACAATTGATATATTCAAAATAATTTTTTTTAAAAATTTTTTTTATAGAAAGATCGCGATAAAAGGCATTCAAGAAATTTTATATTTTTTAATCCCAAGAATCTACTTAAAAATCAATAAATAATATCGTTAACTTTCACAATCCGAAAAAGAAAAGAAAATGAAATGAGGATGCATGTGTTTTAGTTTTCAGTATATAATTATTTTTGGCTTTGGTTTGCAGGCTTTGCTTTCTTGGACTTGTGTTGATTCCAAGTAGTTCAGCAGTTGTCTTAGCTTGACAAGTTGCTAAATGCTAATGATATGATGAGACAATTTGGTGTGGCAATTATTATGTCAACTCCCAAGTCCCAACTGCAACAAATGAAATTCTACCTGTCTTACCTCTCAAGTAAATGGCATTTAATTACCAAACAAAAGCCTAGTTATCATAAACTATGATAATAGGATTCATATATTTGTAACAATATTGTTGTTGCCTTTTTGTTTTAGGAGAAAACCTACAATCGCTACTCAAGGATGTGTCTCGACTAACCAGCTCAACTGAGAGGCGATTAGATAACCCTAATAATTGGGAGTCAAACTTGCAAGTTTACTGGCCGACTAGCTCAACTGGAGGCTGAACCTAAAGCATCAAGAATATTTTTATTAGTTTAACCAAAGATGCGTCGTGGCTTACCAGTTCAACTAAGATAGCAATGGGTCAGGGCCGGTTTTATATTTTTGTGGCCCTGTTCTTGTAAATAAATGAGATCCTACCAAAATCGCAATTTTAAAAATTAATAGCGTAATATTTTCTATGACCTCCCAAATGAAACACAATATATACACGTTTCTACCACTCCTCCATGGAGTCTTTTAAGATTAATTGCAATTTTATTTTGTTTTAATGTCTTAACTAGCTAGGTAAAAATTAAATATTGGACCTTTTAAACTTTGGGGGCCCTTTGCTGTTGCATAGTCCAAAATCCGACCCTGCAATGAGCAACCCCCACCTGCGAGTGGAACTTGCAAGTTCACTACCCAACCCAACCAGCTCAATGGAGCTAAAGCCCCTACAATATTGTTATAGTAACATTTGGCATGTTATAATTTTAAATTCAAATAACAATATCAATTTTAATAAATATTTAGTTTAAACATGATAGAACAAGTTCAAATGTAACCAACATTGTGATCCAGTGATAAACGTGCAATTCAATTTATTCAAGGATTGAATGCCCCTTATATATAGGTAGAGAAGTCAAACTACCTTATATGGATTGACTCTAAATAAAGATTGTTCCTTATTCTCATGTTAAATGATCGAAATTTTTCTCCCAAAAGGTTGAATCCCCAATCCCAAGGACCCTTCACATTTCGGCTCAACAGAACATTTAGGGAACAATTAGTCCTTTATATAAATTTCACAATTAATAAAAATGACTAACATTTAATTTCATTATTCAATTATAAGAGTTACGTTTATGGAAGAGGAAAGAAATTACATGTTGGGGCAAGAATTGAATTGCAAAATTACATGTTAATCATTTTTATTAAAGGTTAATGACAAAAAATTAAATAAACTAATTGTGACAAAGAATTGAAAGTCAAGGATGTATTAGATAAAATTAAAAGGGCATAACCAGATGGGGTAATGTCATAATAGGGATGGCAATGTGCCCCGTCCCCGTTGGGGATCCCCGCCCCTATAGGGGATGGGGACGGGAACGGGGAAAAATTTCGAGAATCGGGGACGGGATGAGGAATTTCACAAACTCCCCGGCGGGGTGAGGGACGGGGACAAGGATACCACTCCCCGCCCCGCCCCGTCCCCGAAAATTAAAAAATAAATAAATAATATATATAGAATATTATTTTAGGATTAGGAAATAGAATATTTGAATGTATATACATTAGAATAATACGTGTACTGTACTATTGTGTGTATAACAACAATAAGTCAATATAATTACATAATGTTTGAATGTTAAACTATTTTTAGTATATATTTGCTCTTTTGGATTGAAATTTGAACTTCATTAGTTCGTATGTTATTAAAAATAGTTGAATTTTAATTGTTATTTCAATTTTTTTCTTTTTATTTCTACTAATTTCACACTTTGACTATGAGTTGACCGGGTATGGGGGTTCCCCGTCCGCGCCAAATTCCCCGCGGGGACGGGGATGGAAAATTTTTTCAAGTCCCCGCCGGGGACGGGGATGGGGTCGGGATAGCTATGTCATAACTCATAATAGTCATTAACATTTACGACTTAACATTCCGTTATTGTCTTTCATTTTTTTTTCCTACTATTTGATTATTATGTAAATTCGTTAATAACACATGATACAATTATTCAATTCTTTGGTAACTAATAAACTCTTTATTCCTTAAAAAAAATACACTCTTTATTAAATATTATAAATAGTATCATATTATGAAGTAAATTTTTTTAATAAAAATAGTATTTATTATAAATATAAATAATTTGATAAAAATAAAATTAATGAATGTATAATAGAATGGATTACAATCATGCATCAACAAACAATTTCAAGAATAAAAATATTGGGCATGATTCAGTCAAATAAGAAGATTTTGCATCTCAAAAAGTCGAGCAGATGGAATCAGCATGATGATGGTCTAGTGTAGACACATACTTTTGTTTCAAAATTCTTGTAATCAAATCCAAAAATAAAGCAAAAAAAGTGGTTTAGATGTGAGTATGGAATCAAATTAATCCTCCTTCATTACTCAGGTATCAAAGCACCCCCATCACTAACATCTCATCAATACCCTTTATTTGTGGGACCTACACAAGCATTTTTTTTTTTCTAAAATATTGAACCATCAATTTAAGAGTCACTCACCGCTCATGTCATGTACACATGTAGATGTGGTAATTAAAATCCTATTTGGTAAAATAGTTAGTTTATCAGTCAATTTTGATTTGTTTGACTATTATTAATTGTTTGACTTGGTTAAACAATCTATATAAGTGTTTGGTTAATTAATTTTTTTTTTGTATCAGCTAATTGCTCTTAAAGGTTAAAATTCAAAAAGTTGCTCAAAGCAGTTTTTTTTTATTAGCTTTTCGAGAAAGTCATTTTGCATATACTCAGCTATCAGCTAACAGCTAATTTACCAAACATCTTTCTACAGTCAATACTATCAACTAATCAAATTCACTAACCCAATCAACTATCAACTATTAACCAAACACCCTTAAATCTTGATATACTGATATGTGTCTCAACTAGCTTATCTGTACTCCAAATAATTTGTACACTAATGTCCATAAAAAGGATAAATTCATACATCTTTTTTTTTTTGTTTTTTTTTTTAATCATCGATATATATAATTCAAATCTTATACACTATGATAGCTAGCAAAGTAAAAAGGAGGAAAAAAAGTGACAATAATAAGCATATAAAGGAGGATGAAATTTAAATTGAATTTTGAAATTAAACTTGGCTACATTTTAAAAGTTTTCTATACTATATATTTTAGGAAAATAAGAATTTGGCCGTCTAATTATAGTTAAATACTTAATTAAGTATCACATTTGACTCTCGAGTTATTAAAAATGTGGTGAAATTAGTCATTGACATAATTAAAATGCTACAGAGAACTTTTTATTGTTAAATATTTAAAATTCTAAACATTTTAAGAATATTTTTGTAAATTTTGCGTAATTTTTATAAATTTTTGAATAATTATGCTTCTAAGGTTCAAAAATGACG